CCAGATGAAGAAATTGTAGAAGGGGTATACGATGAATGTAAATAAACTAACATAATTATGACCGGTAAGAACCGGATATAATGTCCTCTAGACCGAATTTCGGTCACGGCGGCCAGTCTCAACGGAGACTAGCCATCGAGCAGGACAGGATTATAATGCACAAGTTTATGCGCAAGACAGGTGCACTCTTTATTCCCTCACTCTCAGAGTTAGATGGGACGGCAAACCGACGTGACCGAAGAGGGAACAGGCACACGGACCAACGGCTTCACGTGCTTTCTGCGGCACAGTAGTGAAACACCGCCAATTTACTAACTCTGGGCTGTTACTGAGAATTTCTTGACAGAAAAACCTAACAACTAATTTTACCCCGACCTGGGATTCGAGCCGGGACGTCCCAAACAGCAACAGCGTTTATGATCATTAGACCAACGAAGTAGGAAAAAACCGGATACCCTTTCAACTAGCAAAAAGGTATTCCATTTTAGTCCCCAAGGGTAGTAAGACATCTGCCTGCATTGATACTTAATCGAGGGTAGATGTAATGCAGTCATTACCATTAGGTAATGCTCGTTTGTCATCCTTACGTCTATAAAAAAAAACTTACAACTTTCGGATCTTCTGCTGACACAGACCTCTTTATTTCGAAGTGCGTTTTGGAGTAAAAAAAGTGTAGGTATGCTGCGATGCCCCTCTTCACAAGTCCTCGAAATATTATTATCTCATACAAGCAACGAGGAAAAAATACATCGTCAGGAAACAATGTATTCTTTCCCCGTTGATCACATGGTAAATTGGTACTTTAAAAGTAATTTACAATTGTAATGTTGAAGGCGGAAAACGAATTCTGTTTGCTTGCGTGCTACATACATATATACATAGGTTTTTAACGATCTATAGCTGTCTCGCTGTGCCCAATAGACCAAGAGAAACAACTGCAGCTCGGATGAATTACACCTATGCAAAACTGACGAAATTATTCCTCTGCTTTCAGCTAACAAAACTGGACCAATTTTTTATGGACAATATAATAAGAATAGTGACTGTATCTGTATGTTTTCCTTTTATTTTTAATGTTCGTTAAATTTATTTGCTATTTATTTATATAACAGCGGTATAACTGAGCAGTTTTAGTAATTTAAGAAAGTTCCTAGTTTTTAAAATAATTCATTAATTAATAAAAACAAAACATAGGAACATGGCAGTGATAGCATACATACAGTGCAATCTATATCTACAAATGTAGATATAGATTGCACTGTAAAGAATATTTGATCTAGTCCAATATCCAGGGAGAATACAGAGCAATACTTTTTTATGAACTAAACGCCACCTTGATATCCCTTGAGGCGAGTAATGCGAGTAATGAATGTCTTTGTGTAAAAGGGAAAGACTCAGAAACTATCGAACGGAAACACTGAACACGTTTAATCCAGCAAGTTGCAGTCCTTAGAAGATAGAGACCGTTTCGATAAAGAAAACATCTTTAAAGTTAAAAAAATAACTAAAGGCCTACGAGAAAGAGAGAGTGTGTATATATATATATAGAGAGAGAGAGAGAGAGAGAGTAATGTGACACATATTGGACGAGCTACGTATAAGTAATCAGCTAGGATAAAACTTGACTTCGACAAAATAATTCCAACTTACAATAAGATCGAGAAAAGGGAAGAAGCCATCTAAAAAGTTTTAACTTGAAAGTCAGCTTTAATCACTGTCTGACAACGACTGACGACTACTGATTTTTCGGAACTCTGAATGTCTAATATTTTTAATCGTCTACCCTACTAAACGCAGTACAACAAATGTAGAGTATTATCATAATCTTAAGAGAGGAAAATTTACCAGTTCATACAGCCCAATCTTCGACGGTAGCATGAATAGAATTTGAAAAAATAAATCGTCTTCTATACCGTCTAGACTTGGCTACTGTTTAGTCTTTATATATAAAAATTACGGGTCACGTTGTTTGTCCGCGATGGACTCGAAACTACTGAACTGATTTCAATAAAATTTTGCACACTGCGTTCAATTTGGTCCAACTTCAGAGAGAGAGGATAGTTTTTATCCCGATAAATGACCCTCAATATTTTTTATTACGAATTTAAGAATTGTTTATAGGACAAAAGGAGAGGAGACGTCGGAGAGGGCAGAACAACGTCTGCCTGGCGAGCTAGTGATTTATAAAAAGGACGGGGGGAAGGGCACCCTTTGACTAATCTTCGTGTACCATATTATATTTGCCCGTAAATGACACTGCTGGATGTGGGCCTCTTCCATTATAGATATTTAATCGTCACGCTTGGCTGGCAGAATTACGATTGCAGTACCAGACTTGTATTATTATAACGCCATCTATCGGAAGCCATTACATTTTTTGTCATTTCCCTCTTGCGGCATGAATAGCCTCTTAGGACAACCGAACACACATAGAAGAGGGTGATGAATTTTCTTATGTAGCCACCGCACCACCAAGCTGATCTTTGGTCTGAAATCTTCGATACCTACTTTTTCACTATTAATATTTTATCAATTGTGAGACATACTAAATATAGTATACTAAAATAATGTTGAATAAAACTAATTTTTATAGATTTTATCGCGTTTAATTAACTTATTTTATATTCCCGATGTTTCGGTTGCTTTCCAGCAACCATGGTCACGGGGGACTGAGGTGACTGACGTCCCGATGTCAGAGTTAACTCGGGAGTACCTTCAGCTTTTTAATTATTAATTTTGGTCCGATCTACGCAGAATGAACTTACTGTGTCTTGAAGAAGCGATAAAATCCGTAAAAATTAGTTTTATTCTATGTGTAGTGTTCGCGTAAATATAAGAAATCATTATCTAAAATTTCATACTTTAGGTTCAGATCTTTTCAGCCACCCCTTGTATATTCCCCTTCTTATTCACAAATTATAAGGATTTTTTTTTATTTAAGGAAGGAAAGAACCACAAAAAGGTACCGGTGCTTGAAGTAAACCTAAAATGAATAACATGTTTTCCATGCTAATCGTCTCCTTATTATAATTAGACAAAAAAAAATTAAAACGAATTAGGAGTATCATTGAATCTGGTTGAAATGTTTATGGGACCTCTGTAAATTATACTTTTCGATTACCTAAACCAAAAGATTTTAAGATTCGGCTAACTTATATCGGAAATAATTATTACATCTGAGGTATTCTAAAAAATATAATCTATAGTCTAATTGAGAACCATTATTTATGAGGTCTGTTAAAATATTTAAAACGCTAGGCTACGTGATGGAATAACGATCCTACAATGGACATCGTCTCCTTCTTATTAGCATATAAATAGCCCACTGGTGTATATTGTCCTCTTGCATAGGATGAAGGATTTGTAATCACCACGTTTGGCAAATGAATTCACAATCGCGATGCCGGATGTACGACATATTATATGAAATACCGAAAGAGATGGGAAATACGCAAGATATTCCGGAAATTTTCCTAAGTCTTTTCTTACCACGGGATAATACGGGAGAGGTATTCTCTTATGGTGCCAACACAGTTTATATTGACGATAAAAAAAATCTCTAACACCATTAAACACCAAAATAGATTTCTTTTCATCCCCATCTGTTGTCGGTTTTTCGAGCTATATAGCTGGCCCATTCTCACTTCAGGTTACTGATACGTTGGACTATGTCAGTAACTACTGTTTTACTGCGTATATATTTATTACGTATGCAGAATGCAAAAGAGCTCCTAACACATCCCCCTCAATAGCTCGCTGAGTGACCTTGATACGGCCGCCAGTAAAGTACTAAGACTCAGTGCTATGTGAGATCATAGGCAACACGCATTAATTATACACTCTTTTTTTAGAGGAGTAAGTGACGGAAGTAGTAGACTCCATAGTCTCCGCCTACACCTCTGGGTGACAGGTTTAAGTTACGAAAAGATGTGCCGTAATCTCCCAAACGCTGTCCGGCCGTTTTGGATCCTTCAACAACCGGTCCGTTAATAACAAATACAAATATAATAATAGAAGTTCCAAATTCAAAATTCCAACCTCACAGCGGTCTGCTGATTGAAAGACGAGGTTTTGTCGATGGCTAACCATGGCCACTCTCGATAAAATATATGTATGTAACAAAACGCGTCGTCACCTAACACGTGCACATGCATAGGTTTAAGTTACGAAAAGATGTGCCGTAATCTCCCAAACGCTGTCCGGCCGTTTTGGATCCTTCAACAACCGGTCCGTTAATAACAAATACAAATATAATAATAGAAGTTCCAAATTCAAAATTCCAACCTCACAGCGGTCTGCTGATTGAAAGACGAGGTTTTGTCGATGGCTAACCATGGCCACTCTCGATAAAATATATGTATGTAACAAAACGCGTCGTCACCTAACACGTGCACATGCATAGGTTTGTGTACGTGAAAGGTGCCGTTGTGCGTGTGAAGTTAAAATACAACACGCACGTACGTGACCTCGCGTAGTTACTCGACTTTCATGTACACGCTTTTACAACGAAATCCCAGAAAATATACATAATTCGACCTACTCAAGGTTCAAAACTTTATTAAACGAAATGCCGTTGAACCTTGAATTTCGTTATAGCATTCTTCTGGCATACGAAAATATATATATAATATTTTTTTGTCTTTTCGTAATGTGGGTATCAAAAAGTGAAACTCCAAATCTATGATTTGAGTACTCAGCTCATGAACCCATTTTCTTCTTTTCTTGTTCACACCTTGAGATTATTCTTCAGCTAATGCTAATAACAACAAAACCTCAGCTTCAATATCAAAAGACATGTTTTCCTACTGAGAAACCAAAAATTACACGTGCGGGATTCGCCTGTTTGGGAGCCTAAGCGAGCGAGCGAATTGTGCAGATTCGCGTCCCGCGTCCCGCGCGAGATTAAGAAAGATCTTTTGCCCAAGAAGGCAAACATAGTTGGTACATTAAACAAGGCTATACCCAGCAGTGGACTTAAAAAGATGGTATATTTCTCTTACCTGAGGCGTGCTCTTTACTACGGCTTTCGGCTGCAACCTCTGCAGGTGGTTCGGCAGTCTCGACTCCGTACCATCCGTGCTATTAAACTCTCCTGTATTCTCTTCACTCTTATTCTTAGTTGCTTCATTATTTTTTCTAGGATTCACCCTGCCGGCCTGAAAACACAATAAAGTTCAATATCTTGCTAAATTGTAATCTTTTTTACATACGCAAAAACTACAAATACGATTATAACCATCAACTATCAGCCTTTTTACCGGACGGCGCAACACAAAGGAGGGTAATGTATTTATCAGCCTGTTTTTTTTTTATAGGATAGGGTGACAAACGAGCACACAGTCCACATGATGGTAAATAGTTGTTGTGACCCATAGACATCTACATTTATCCTCAACTAGCTGACCCGGCGAACTTCGTACCGCCTAACAGTCAATTCTTTAATTTTCTTTTAATACTTATTCTGCTATTCGGGACACCGGGTCAGCTAGTAAGATAAAAAAGAAAAAAGAAAGTTGATAAGTCAACAATTACATTATGTCAAAAAATTAAAATTATAATTGTTTTGCCTTCCCGGAACCCATCCACTAACACTTAAACTTTATGGTACGGTATTAAAGTTCAAATTGACTTTTAAGTATTATTACGAATCTTTTGTATGGGAATATAGAAAAGTGTTTAAAATTGCCTGAAAAAGTATAATTTTTCAGGCAATTTTTTAAATTTTTCTCTCCGTAAAAACCATCTTCGTACTTCAAGGAATATTATAAAAAAAGAAATAGCGAAATCGGTTCACCTGCTCTCGAGATTTGCGCTTAGCAACATATTCAGCGATTCATTTTTATATTATAGATAAAGAATCAAAATGCAGATGCGTTGTCACCCGTGAGGACTAAGATGGAATGCCTCGTTTCCAGTAAAATGGGCCTCTGGTTCTCTACACTCACCATATTATGATACACAGCAGTGTCAAGCCGCCATTTTACGCTGGTATTCTGTGAAAACGTGATCCTTCCCCGGTAGAGCCGACCCATTCGTGCTACAACTATACTACTAATATAGCTGCAGCATGAGTTCTTTTGTGGCGGTCTGGAGACCAAACGCGTGGGTCGATTTTGATTATTCTTACATCAATGGATTTGGCTCAATCTTGCGAGTAACTAAGAATATGACAGTAATCTAAATTCAATATGGCGACAACTAGACGCCATATTGTAAGAAAAAAATGAAAGGCGACGAAATCAAGTGGGAAAGAGGTGTTTGAAAATCATCTTTAGGTTTTTTTTTTATAGGATAAGGGTGACAAACGAGCACACAGTCCACCTGATGGTAAGTGGTTGTTGCGGCCCATAGACATCTACATCTATCCTCTGTTACAAATCAAAATGTAGATGCGTTGTCACCCGTGAGAACTAAGATGGAATGCCTCATTTCCAGTAAAAAGGGCCTCCGGCCACCTGCACTCACCAAGCGAAACGCAGAGATAAACTTCTACTTCACGCTGGTTTTCTGTGAGGTCGTGGTACTACCCCGGTTCGAGCCGGCCCATCCGTGCGACAGCAAAAGCTGCCGCGTGCCTCTACCACTGTTAAGATTCATTTCTCTAATCACCGTGTGATAGTGGCAATGTTCGTCCGCCAATTAGCAGCAAACATCAGGAGATGAGTTTGCATACTTGAATGTCTGCTTGAGAAAGACTAGGTATATTACTGCTATAACTGCTAGCTTTGACAATATGTATTAGTAATCACTAGCTGGTGGGAGTCGTTTTTGACCTGAAGTCCGCTGGATAGCCACCACTCTCTCTTACCCAATACTGCCACATCGATCTCTATTAAAACACTAGATACACAATGTCATGCCTCTCAATAGTCTCTAAAAACGGTCGCCAATTAACATAATTTTAGTTAAAATAAATATACATTAATGTAAATTCAACCATAAATGCATTGCCTAAAGTTGTATTCACAAAGCTACGTACAAATTAATAGCGCACCCAGTTCCCCACCCCCGTTCGAGTGGGCGCTCATTCGGTAAGGACATTTTTTGTCACTGATTGTGCATCAAATTCTTTATTAGTGATCGATGTACTGCTACCAAATAGCAGTGCATGCACTACTGTGTTCTGAAGGGTATTAAGAGCCAGTGTAATGACAGGCTGCGAGGCATTCCATCTTAGTCCTCAGATATTAGTTCTTTGTTTGATTTTTACAACGTGTTAGCAAGTTAACTTAATAGAGCCACACTTACGTGGTAGAGCCACGCTGCAGTTGTATTAAAGCAGCACAAATGGGTCAGCTCGACCGAGGTAGATACCACTAATGTAGCTGCAGCATGGCTCTACCACGTATACCTTCCGATAGAATGGCAACAGAAAGCAGCGTCAAAGGTATAAACTCTAGTAGACTTGTAGTGCTCCGTTCGTTCAACCCGCTTGCCAAGTTGAGAAACATTCAACCGTGAAGATTGAATGATGCTGCAGCTATATTAGTAGTATAGTTGTAGCACGAATGGTTCAGCTCGACTGAGGTAGGAACCACGCTCTCACAGAATACCAGCGTAAAATAGTTGCTTAATGCTGCTGTGTTTCGTATTGGATTTCGGAAATGAGGCATTTCATGTTAGTCATCAGGAGTAACAACGCATCTGCATTTTGATTCTTCATAGAGCATAAATGTGGATGTCTATGGACCACAGCATCCACTTACCCTCAGGTGGACTGTGTGCTCGTTTGTCACTCTATTGTATAAAAAAAAATGTGCATGGACTGCAGCAGCCACTTGCCTTGGTGGACTATAAGTTCTTCGTTTGTCATTTCAGTTTTATAAAAAAGTAATTTACAGGATGTACTTGAAAGCGTCTTTATGAAACTAGTGTGATAAGAAAATTTACAATACACTTAATAGCAAGTGGCTGTTGAAGTCCTTGCAAAACTATATTTTCTACCGACTTCAAAAAGGAGGAGGTACTTAATTCGTCTGTATGTTTTTTTATGTGTGTTACTCATAACTTTGTTCTACGTGAACCAATTTCAATGATTCTTTTTTATATTTGAAAGCTAGTGCTTCTCATGTGGTCCCATATCAATGTCTGATCAATAATTTTTCAGTCACCCTAAATAAAATATATTGAAGTCGGTTGTACAAATTTTTTAATTTTTAATTATAGAGCATACGGCTCACTTGATGGTAAGTGACTACCGCCGCCCATGAACAACCGCAACACCAGGAGAGTTGCAGGTGCATTGCCGGCCTTTTAGAAAGGAGTAAGCTCTTTTCTTGAAGGTCCCTAAGTCGTATCGGTCCGGAAAATATCGCCGGTGGTAAACTATTCCACAAAGGGGTCGTACGAGGATGAAAACTCCTAGTAAAGCGTACAGTGGTGGACCGCCAAGCATCCAGCTGGTATGGATGGTATGATGGACGATCGGAGAGGACTCGGTTCTCGCCGAGTCGAGCCGCTCTGCGCTGGATGCGGTCAAGTGGATGGATGACACCGGAGAACCCCGTCCCTGAGAGATGGGAACAGAATTCAACGTGAAGCCGAACCTGCACCTTGTAAAGTTGCATATAGCAAACTACAAAAGCAAATGTTTATGGCGCGTTGTTAACCCTGACGATTCAGGCAGATTTTTCTTTATACAAATAAGGATGACAAATGAGCACAGCCCACCTAAAGGTCGCTGAAAGCCACAGACAGCTAGCTCAATCACAAATAAGAATCTAAATTCAGGTGCGTTATCACTTATTATCTTTGAGGATAAGCCTGAAATAGTTACCTCATTACCACTAAAAAGTGTCTCCGGTGTTACTTACCTTACGAATTAATGGAGTATTATGCTACTATACTACGCAAGTATTATTTATTTATTTATTTATTTATTCATTCTTTTTTGCACCAAATATTTGCACAAAAGGCGAGCTTAATGCTATATGGCATTAAGTATTCTATTAGTTAATATAATCATGTGGCTGTGAGTTAATATAATTATGGGGCGACATAGGGAAAATTGAGCAGGAGATATGCAGCCACATCTTCCTGATAACAACTCAAATGTGATTAAAAAAACTGTAGTTGCCAAACCGCCTGACAAGCATGGCAACTACAGCAAATATCCTCCCTATGAGGCAAACTGTGGGGAGGTCTATGTTCAGCAGTGGACTTTATAGCCTATACTAATATGCACTTACATTTTTAAAAGGATAGGGTGACAGACGAGCACACAGTCCACCTAATGGTAAGCGGTTGCTGTGGCCCATAGAATACATCTATCCTCGTTTGCGAATCAAAATGCAGATGCGTGGTCACCCGTGAAGACAAAGATGGAATGCCTCTTTTTCAATAAAAAGGGTCTCCGGTTCTCTACACTCACCAAACGAAACACAGCAGCGTTAAGCTGCTATTGTACGCTGGTATTCTTCGAAAGCGTGGTCCTACCCCGGTCGAGTCGACCCATTCGTGCTACAACTATACTACTAATATAGCTGTAGCATGCCTCTACCACGTATAAAACTAATATGGGTTGAATATTTCACTTACCATTTCTTCATTCCGCCTTATCATTTCCAACTGTTGTTCCCTCGCTATCGCCTGCCGTATTGCCGGTTGTGTTCTAACTCTTTCTTCGTTACCTATTTCAGTTAAATAAAAAAATATGTTATTAAATTTATGTACTGCAGCAGGGACATACTTGCCATTATTATCGCCATAGTTGTCCTTGCTACCACGTATAAAAGGCGATTTAGCTGGCAGGGTACAAATTGCTCAGAACCGTATTTTGTGGCAGTCTGAGGGGCACGCCTATGTTTAGCATTAAACTTGTGCAGTAAATGGGCCGCAATTATGATAAAGTTGTTGACTAATACTTTATGCTTGTAAACACTTGAAATGCCTTGACGCGACTTTGGCTTTAAAATCTTCCAGCTGCTCAATTTCATGTTTGCAGACTTCCCATATCCTCGAACTATTCTCAGACATACAGGTTTTATCACAATGTTTTCCTTCACTGCCAAGTATGTGGTAAATCAACACACTATGCCGTATTAACTCAAAGGCTAAGTGCAAGTAACTCGGTATTGATCCCGGCCGCCATCAATTGCATAATTAAATAATATCAAATAATAAGATGGACTCTTAAAAGACATACAGGATCTCCTTTTTTTATCAAACTACAAAAGCTCAAATTAAGAGGTTTTTCTATAACTCATATTTGCAAGCGGATCGACGATCACAGTTATAGAAAATGTACGCCATAGACAATTGTCCTTCCATTCAATTCAATTTGCAAATTAACAATTTCATTCTTAATGGCGGGAATCGAGCCCGAGTTGCTCGCATGCCGTGAAATTTACAGCGAGTCTTTAACCCCTGATCTACCACGGCTCTGACACAATAATAGTAACCAAATAGACAAAGCTTAACTTAAACATAAAAATATTTTCGTTTTCTTGTCTATGAGATAATTGACTGTATCTATTATCAATTTTGTAGAGGTAATTCATTCCTAGTGCAAATTGTAGACAGGGTTAACTAACATTCTCATCAAATTAAAACACTGAAATTGTAACAATGTTTAATAGTGTAAGCCGGCTCACCAAAAAACGCCACCTTGTGTATATCGGGCTCGAGAACGAACGCGTACAGTCCTTCTGGCGTGCGTTGTTGTATGAACTGCAGGCCGTAGTCGCACATCGCGCCCGCGCACACTCGCACAGTCTGCCGCTCGCTTTCGCTGCACAGCTGCAAAAGAAGCCATGTTATCCTAAGATTATTTTATGGGTGGTATGATTGATTATTTATGGTTTGGATAGCACGATAGCTAGTGGCAAAACGTTTACCTCGGCACTGCGTACCGTGTATTCGAATCTCTCAAGGAAAAATTATTTACGAGGATGCGTTTTTAAGTTCGCGAAATGGGTAGGTAGGTAATAAGTGGAGACGTCGCTGAATTACGTGCTAATTGAGCAACTCGTTATTAGTATAAATACAGGATTTTATTGTGATTAGATCATTAGTCTTTGAGTTATCGTCAACCAAACAAGTCAATCAGGAAGAAATTGTCAAATATGGATAAAATCGAGTTCCGTGCCGTTATAAAGTTCCTTACCCAGCGTGGAAAATGAGTTCAGACTATAGTGGAAGAGATATCATCCATTTACGGAGACTCTTTTCCAAAGTAAAACTATGGTTTACACGTGACATATCCTTTTTAAACAAGGCAGAGAGTCACTTGAATACGACCCACGGCCAGGAAGGCCGATCGAAGTGACCACTTCGGAAATTATTCAAAAAGTCAAAAAATTTATACAGAAATGGTTGGAGTATCAGATACAACCATTTTCAAAATTCTTCATGACAATCTTGGCATGAATAAAGTCAGCGCAAGATTAAAGAAGACCTAGAATGCTCACGCCGCCTCAAAAGCAACAGCGCGTGGAGTGTTCTCGTGCAATTTTGGACCTCTGTATGGAAGACAAAGATGGAGTGTTGGCTCGAATTGTTATTGGTGGCGAAACTTGGGTTCACCATTATAAACCTGAGTCCCAACAGGACTGTATGCAGTGGCACAAAAAGGCACACCACCACCCAAGAAATTTAAGGTAGCACAATCGGCTGGGAAAATCATGGCGACAGTCTTTTGGGACTCAGAAGGAATCCTATTGATTAATTAGAAAGATAAAGGTGCCTCCATAACCGGAAATTACAACGCATAATCCTAGAACAATTGAAAGAGGCCATAAAGGTGAAAAGAAGGGGAAAATTGACCAAATTAATCCTTCTTCTGCACGACAACGCGCCTGTTCGCAAGTGCCATGTTGCGATGGCTGCCCTGCAGAAGGTGGGCTTCGAAATTTTGCCACACCCACCCTTAGGTCCTGAACTGGTCCTCAGTGATTATTATCTATTTCTAAACTTAAAAAAAAATAACTTCGTGGGAAAAGTTTTTAAGTGATGAAGAAGTAAAGGAAGCAGTTTCGGCGTATTTTTTTAGACAAAGACAAATCGTTTTTTTTTTTTGAGGGTATACATAAGTTAATTGAAAGAACCGAAAAATGTATTAGGGTAGCAGGTGAATATATTGAAAAGGAAAAATAAGTTTGGATTTTTATTTCCACTCCCTACCACCCATTCCGCGAACTTAAAAACGCACCCTCGTATATGGCCGTCCTATATGTAAAAATAAGTGTTCTGGGTATGGGTGCTCATCTTTATTTAATTCATAACGATGATGAAAGTATTGCAACTTTTCCTCTGAATACTAAACTGAGCCGCATGCAGTCCAAATTGCATTTAAAATCAGAGATAACTGTCTCGTTGGTGTAGAAGTTTAAATCGGATCGCCATCCCATTGCACTATGAGAGTGAAACAGAAACAGAAACTTTTTATTCAATGTAGATCATAAATAATACTTATTGAGTAGTTCTTTTGTTTAATTAACACTGATTCGAAAAAAAATCTCTGTCCTGGGAAGAACCAGCAAGAAACCCAGTGGATTTTTTTTTTAAAATAACAGCTTACAATCATTTATGTTACACAGTTAACAACACAAAACAAATTAGAAATAGCTTGGTAGCGATCACCTCATACCCAGAAGTTATTATTATTAGCCGTAAAGCGGCTCTCCGTGGGCCGCTTGTCGCCCCCGCGAGAAACGAGACGCGAACCACATCGCCGCCATTTTGGTTAATTAAATTATTTTTATGATTATCCATTGCGTTCAAAATTGGTTGAATCTGGTATGTGTGATTGCGGTGCTGCCTATGAGGATAGGCATCACGTGCTATGGGAGTGCGAGTTGTATGATGACCTGAGATGTAAGATGATGGACGGAATAGTACGCAGAGGGGTGGGTCCGGTTTACTACCCGGACCTCGTGGACGGTAGGGAGAGCTTTGGCCGGCTGCGGGAGTTTGCGCATGGTTGGCATGCGCGGAGAACTGCGATGGAGAAGAACCAAGAAAGGATTCTGCCCGGAACCGAAGGCGTTGTGTGTTCGTCCAGCCCAGAAAGGGAGAGTGACACTACGGGACAAGTAGTAGAATAAATAACTTGTAGAGAGTCAAGAAAGTGCACGCGGGAAAGAGCCCTGAGCAAGTACCGCGTGCATCTCTCGAGATTCGGCCCGTATAACCGTAAGGTTGGTGGGGCCATGGGAGGTTGAGGGTTGTCCCTATCCATTGCGTTCCCACGAATAGCGAGGGAAGGGTTTGTCCCCCCCAGCAGAGCCCCGCATGCCAGGGTAAGGGTAGCCTAATTCTGGGGTCGCCAGGTCCCAGGGCAGTGTGGCACGCTATCGACTAGGCTTGCCCCTAGCCATGCATCCATCCGCGCGGCAGACGTTAGATTGGCGGAGAGGGTAGGAATAGGGAAAGAGAAGGATAGGTAGTGTGAAAAGGAAGACTGGTAAGTTAGAGTGGTATTACCGCCCAAGAGGGCAAGGGATAGTACAGTAAAAGCTAGGGAAGCCGGGGTCGCATACCCGTGTACTATACCACAACTACCGGACAGGTAAATTGGGATGAGTATCCCATGACTTACCCATGACTTTTTAAACCAACAAATCAATACATATTACATTATCACGTCACATGCTACGCCAGCATTTAGCTGTCTGGACTCTATTTCTATTAAGGATATTCTTGGTACGGATTCTATAATTCGGCATAATTCAAGAGGCTATCAGGGAAAACAAAACATTAATAAACATACCTGTATATTTGCGGATCGTAACGTAGGCGACAACAAGTAAGGCAACAATGGTAACACATCTAGCCTTAGTACGTTGCGATTGACAACCACATTCGGACTACTTCCTCGCCACACTGACAGTACGATGCTGTCCAATTCGGTCTTCCTTCGGGACATCTGTGGAACACAAAGCAACAATTACATTTCATTAATATAAAGTCCACTGCCGAACATAGGCCTCCTCCAAAGATTGCCTCAAAGCGGGCATATTTGTCACAGTTGTGACTATTAAAAAATACAGTCTAATATATTATTGTGACAATTTTTAAAATTTATAGGTAGGTTTGATCACTCATGGGTGCGTATAAGACGAAACACTTAAGAATACCTAACTACCCCATATCTTACCGTGGGTGTCGTGGAAACTGAAACAGGAGATGGGCAACAGCATCCTTCTAATGACAACAACTCAAAATTATAAAAAACTGCAGCTGCCAACGCGCCTGCCAAGCGTAGCAACTATGCCAAGATTTCCCATATGTAGTAATATCTGGGGAGGCCTATATTCAGCAATAGACTTTGATAGGCTATAATGTATATATCTGTTTCAGTTTCCCTCTGTCGTCTCTTACGGCACCTACAAGATTCTATTTTATAAGATAGGGTGACAAACGAGCACGCAGTCCACCTGATAGTAAGTGGTTGCTGTGACCCAAAGACATCTACATCTATCCGCAAAAAAGAATCAAAATGTAAATACGTCGTCACCCGTCAGGACTAAGATGAAATGCCTCTTTTCCAGTAAAAGGGTCTCCGGTTCTCTACGTTCACCATACAAAACACAGCAGGTGTTAAGCTGCTATTTTACGCTGGCATTCTGTGAGAGCGTGGTCCTTCCCTGGTCGAGCCGATCCATTCGTGCTACAACTATACTACTAATATAGCTGCAGCATGACTCTACCATGTATAAAGATAATATGGGATAGTGGATTCTCTTACGCACCACCACACGACGAACAATAATTATTAATAAGAAATGCAACAAAAGTTAGACTAAAATTATAATCGCGTATTTCCATAGCATTTTTAAGCATGGAAACTGTACTAAATAAACATTATATTTAACATTATTATTTTTTTATCTGCAACAGCCTTTTTAAGTCCACCGACCAACAAAAAGATAAAGGCTCAGTAGCACATGGGCCAAGCGTATGCCTACAGCACATTGGTTCATGGGTTTGAATCCCGCACGGAAATACTATTTCTATGGCCTACAAAAATTCGAAAATTAAAAAAGTTATGAGGGTAATAGTCTAATTCTAATACTTATAACACTTCACAAAAAAGTTATAAAATTACAGGCGGACAAAATCTCAGTCAAACAGCACATTATTTATTATAAGAAAAAATTACAGAATACAGACTATGTATATACGTCCCACTGCAGGACAAAGGTTTCCTCTCATTTCTTAATGGATTTTAGAACCATTATTTCATCACATATCTTTAATGCAGTTTGGTGGGTTCAGTCCTCGTAATTATGACCTTATGAAACATGGTTCTCGAGTGGCGGCCTCGTAACGGCGGACGAAATGTAGGGCGTCCCCCCACTAGATGGAGTGACGACCTGGTAGACATGCAGGATGTCGATGGATGCAGGTGGCTCAGGACCGTGCTTTGTGGCATTCCTTGTGGGAGGCCTATGTTCAGCAGTGGACTTGTGAGTGATGATGATGAATTATGACCTCGTAAGGTTTTATTTTCTTGAAATGCAAGTTTCCTCACGATGTCTTCCTCCAACGCAAAGCGTGGTAAATCAGCACTTGTGGCATGTTACAGCAATTGGAAATAACAATTTCATTGGTAATTAATAGAGTCAGGCGTTACTTTGCGGAAATCCATTATATTAAAGTTGGTAAAAATTACTTTGTGTACATTCGCTAGATAAAATAAAGTGATGTGTCTTACCATCATAAAAAAGCATTAGTTTGAGGAGCACCTCCCGCCCTCCCTCAATTTCTGAGACTTAGCAGTCAGCCACCGCAGAATCTACTACACCTGAAGACGCCTCGTGTAGAGGCGAAACACGTGTCGTATTGTCGTCAGTGGTGTGTCTTTCCTAGTGTAGTAGTATTGGGAGTAGTGGTGCTGGGATTAGTGGCGACGGGGATAGTGCACGCAATTGAGAGGGCGGGAGGTGCTCTTCAAACTAGGTAGGACACATCATTTTATTTTATCTAGCGGATGTCCGCAAAGTAATTTTTATCAACTTTAATTTCATTGGTGCCCCGCCAGGGACCGAAACCGGGTCGAAATCGGTAGTAGATGTACTGAGACGATGACGTATGGCTGTGATCTGTGTTTTGAATGAGTGGCACGAACCGCAGAACCCTTTAGCTGGTGACAAAGTATTCCATCTTAATTGTCAGAAGTAACAACGTATCTGGATTTTGGTTACTTACTGTGTCTTATGAGTCACAGCATCCACTTGCCATCAGATCAGAGAGTCTATAAAAAAATGGCAGACTTTTCAAGCTCCATTACCCTATTTAAAGATTAATGAGCTAAGTGTATAGAAGTGGAACATAAGTAGACCATCTTTACCTTTTCACAACTTTAAGCCCCACAACACATACCTCCTGACCCTGCATAGGAAACTTCAGCTTATGTTGAGCTCTCGAAGCCAGCAGCCTATGACACCTCGCTATACACAATGGAAGGGTTCCGTATAGCGAATAGTTTTGGTTCCGCATCGTCCAAGAATGCACGGTGTCATAAAACAGCAGCCAGCTCATGGTCTCGCAGGCAATAAGCAGCCGTGAGTCCACACGAGCCGTTAGGTAGTTCTCGAAGATACCCTCTATAAGTCTGTAACAATAATAAATGTATATGTCACATATTATCATAGACGTATGGTGATGTCCTAAGAGAATTCATCGCCTCATTTTATCCTGTGGGTGTAGTATGTGGCGACTAGCGGTAATATCCAGAAAAATCTTTTGGCTTACGATTGATGGCGTAATAACGTCTAGAAGAAATCGCTTCTTGGCTATTACACCGCCTTATTGTACCTACCTACCTCCTAAGTTTTGCTTCCTGAAATCTGTTTTTTTTATCGTTTTTGTGGTAGCATTTCACATAGATTGCCTCATAGGGGGAATATTTACTATAGTTGCCACGCTTGGCAAGCCGGTTTATTTTTAATTTTTAGTCGTTATTAAGAAGACTCCCACGGGATGATATGGGGTAGTGGATATTCTTACGCCGCCACTACACGGTCGTAATAATAAAGTATATAACATATTTATAATATTAATAACCATCTCGCTTACAAAGTAAATTGCTTAGACTTACAAGAGGCAACAGTATCTAAGGGGGCGTTCAAGTATTACGTAACGCAATTTAGGGGGGAGGGGGGGTCTTATAAAACGTTACCATGCGTTACAGGGGCGGGAGGGGGTTTTCCAATAACACGTTACGTAACGTTTTTTATTTCAATAAAAACTAGGAAATTAAAATCTCCCAAGTAGGCAACCCCTTTCGTTTACATTTTACGGGGAATCCCTCGATTATATGGTACGTCATTTTTATTCTGTCCTCCCAAGTTGGCAACCTTTTTTGTCTATGTTTTACGGGGAATCCCTCGACTGTATTGCGACTGTGTTCTCTTTTAATGCACCTGGAATACAAAGTACTTTTACCAGTGGCTGATTTACCAGCAGGCTGAGTAGGCTGGAGCCTAGGGCGGCAGATTTTAAGGGCAGCTAATTTGGGGCTAAAACTTTTTCCTTTTTCACTTGGTCGATAAATTTTCCTACAATTTGCATTTGGTTGTGGCGCGGAAACGAGTGACATAACCGTTCGCTAAGTGTGTTTTGATCAAAATGCCTGCCCTATGTAGTATATATATAATATCTATGGAAGTAGTAGTATATATAATATCTATGGAAATGCTGATGAATTAACTGAACGAGCGAAGCGCGGCCGCCGCGGGAGCCGCAGCAGGATCATACTGTTGAAGGCGTACGCTGCGTGTTGGCATTGAGTTCGAAACACATAGATGTATTTACTTCAAAATCAAAAGAAAAGCTGCCTCGGTTGAATCCTGGTGCGATTTCTAATACGTACTAATATTTCTCAGGCACAATTTTTTGGAAAATTACCTATTGGAAAAACGGTCTAAACAATATACGCATCTATTACGATTTTAAGAGATTTCTTATCTCTTGTTTTATTTATTATTACCGCAAACGCGATTAAAACAATAACAATGTTATTTTAGCGACTTTCCGGTACTTTGCACAACATAATTGTGACTTTTAGTTAAAAATGGTCACTTGGGTGTTACGTAACGTTTAGGGAGGGGGAGGGGGTCCAGATAAACGTTACGGCGCGTTACATAGTGGGGCGGGAGGGTCAAAAATCTTCAAAAATGGCGTTACGTAATACTTGAACGCCCCCTAAAGTGCGAGACGTGATACTGTAATCGTCAATCCCGTAATACCCACGTGACGTTTAAGACAAATCCTTTGTACTAATGGGAGAGGTCCTTGTCCAGGAGTGGGCTTTTATAGGCTGATAAAGATAACAAAAATAAAATTCACAAATTTTGTGTATAACCTGCCTTCATTTGCAAATAGTACCTAATCGCCAATCCTACTTACGGAACATTTACCATAATAGCCACGCTTGACAAATGATTTGGCGATTTTAATATGTATATGCGACTATTTAATTTCAAATATTTGAACATAGTGTGGCTGAAAAAATTAATTTGTCATTTTTCGGAGACTACAATATTTTTTTTAATCAAATAATAACTACTCACCTGTCATATTCACCAGCAGCTTGGATAGTTCTCAAAATATCATTAGATTTTCCGTCTTCAAGTGTGAATACAGCTTGCAAAGCCTGCATCATGCTTTTACTGGTGTCCTTTGTACCAATTGCCACGTTTTCTATATCTTGAATAGTCAGCTGTAAACAGTCAATACAAATGAAAGGAAAGTTACAGTCTATAGACTTCCCATAGCGGGAACATACCTAACTCCTCTAATTATTGTTTTGAAACTAATTGTCCGCTGCGATGCTCTAGTGTGTGTAGTGTATGTTGGCAGACTTCACGTGTCCTTGAAATATTTCATTTCTCAGACATGCAGGTTTCCTCACGAATGCGTTAAACTTCGTACTTATCTCATGGTAATCGCTATTCTATGTTCATAGGTTTTGGACTTTTTAGAAAATATGTATTTAATACAGTTTTATGTATTTTAAGAGTTAGCTTTTTAATTTTAAGAGTTAGCTTGTCGACGGCTCGAACTGGTTCATATGTATAGTGTCTCATCTATTAGCATCGTGTGAGAAAGAGATAGACTTATTAGAGCAGCAATAAGCTAGTGCGCACATGTTCATTGTAACGACGTCCTAGATAACGCAACCATGTTTCTTTAGCGCTCAGCTGTTATGGTTGATCACTATTTAAAACATGTCATAAAGAAACAACAGTTGGAATGTTAGTTTCCATCATAAAAAAGCATTATTTTTTAAAAAAGCAATGCTTTTCCAATTTAGGCGACATAAGAGAATCCATCATCGTTGTTCGTCCCGTGAGTGCAGTAAGAGGTGACTATGGAAATTGTCAGAAAAATGTTATAGCTTCCGATAGATGGCATATAACCTATTCGTTTACGCTAGACGTCAAATACTTAGACCAACAACGCGCGTCAAAAGTACAAGACATCCGGTGCTGCGATCGAAGCTTAACGATTTAGGCCAATCATCCATTGGGAAGAGCCCAAGTCCAGCAGTATATTTTAACGGGCCGGCATCGCACCTGCAATTCCCTCGGTGTTGCAGTTGTTCATGGGCGGCGGACGGCATTCACCATCAGATAAGCCGCATGCGTTTTTGCTCACTCCTCCGTAAAATAAATAAAGATTATTAGAGGTCTCCTGACCTGAGACTTGGATCTCAGAAAGCTGAGCACGTGCAGCGCCATGCGTATGTCCCCGCAGGCGCGGGCGGCCAGCGCACTCAGCACGCGCGAGTCCACCTTCAGGCGCTCGCAGCTCGCCACCGCCACCAGCCGCGACGCCAGCCGCGCCACCGTCACACACCCAACCGTCACGATCAGTGCCACCGGCCTACAACCACACACTTTTTTACCTATTTTTCTTTAAAAAAAAAAACAATGTTATAATATTGACACTGCTTATGCTCCCTGCTAAATGTAAATAACCAACCTTTTAACTTTAAACTTCTTTAATTCTTAACTACTTAATTTGTCAGACATGCTGATTTCCTAACGATGGTTTCCTGTGATAAAACATCCATTTTTACTTTTAACAATTTCAATAGTGCTGATAGAAATTGATGAGGTGGTTTGTGTATTGAAGGCGATTTATGGGACTATTTCATATGTGGTAGATCCATGCTGCAGTTATATTAATAGTATAGTTGTAGCACGAATGGGTCGGCTCGACCGTTGAGGACCACGCTCTCACGGAATACCAGCGTAAAATAGCAGCTTAATGCTGCTGTGTTTCATATGGTGAGTGTAGAGAACCGGAGACACATTTTACTGGAAAAGAGTCATTCCATCTTAGTCCTCACGGCTGACAACGCATCTCCATTTTAATTCGCAAACGAAGATAGATGTAGATATCTATGGGCCACAGCAACCACTTACCATCAGGTGGACTGTGTGCTCGTTTGTCACCCTTATTCTATAAAAAAAAAATACCAGCGTAAAATAACAGCTTAATATTGCTGTGTTTCGTATGGTGAGTGTAGAGAACCGGAGACACTTTTTACTGGAACAGAGGCATTCCATCTTAGTCCTCACGGCTGATAACGCATCTGCGTTTTAATTCGCAAACGAAGATAGATGTAGATGTCTATGGGCCGCCGCAACCACTTACCATCAGGTGGACTGTGTGCTCGTTTGTCATCCTCATTCTATAAAAAAAGGCAAGCGCAACTCCTGAGTTGCCACGCTATAAAGCACGAAAGGCGAAATATTCCCAAAAAGTAAATAATTTGTTTTGCTTGTATAAATCGGATGGTGGGCCGGCTTTAGGAGACCCTTGGCTCTAGCGTGGCACGGTGCACTTGTTGTGTTCCGCTACTAGTTCAACCTTGATCCATTGGATAGTTAATCCATGCAAACGAATTAATTATTATTCTCAACTACAAAATTAGTCTCAGTACAATTTATAGTTGATTGGCTCTGTTCTTATGAATATGATCTGTGTGTTTCATAATTGTATAAAGTGATATATTGTAAATTGATCTTATTTCAAAAGAAAAGTCCCGCCGGGTTCCTTGCTGGTTCTTCCCAGGACAGAGGTTTTATCCAAACCGGTGGTAGTAGTACTATATTGAATAAAAGTGATTATATTATATTCTAAAACCTCTTCCTGGTGACTCTAAACATTATAACAACTTCTTACATCAGATGTGGGATTAATGCTTTCTTTTCTATAATATACATATACTAACCTCAAAGGGCGTAACGAAGTTGCATACAAATCATTACATATAGCAATGACTGGACGTCTGAGCGGCTGAGACTTGCTCTTTTTCTTATTGCCTTCCGTAAGTGTGGTCGTGCACCATTTCACTAACAGTTCGACCGTTTGAACGGGAGCACCGTCAATCTCGTCTGAAATCAGATCATTTAAAACTATTTCATCGAAATTAAGATAAATTTGTAAAAAAAATTAGTAACAAGAGTACATTAACTGAAATCATCCCGTGGGTGTCGTAAGAGACGACAGAGGGAAAATGAAACAGGAGATGGAGAACAGGAGGAGCTTCTACATGAAAACAACTCAATGATAATAAAAATACTGCAGTTGCTAACTTACATGCGAAGCGTGGCTACCATGGCAAATATCCCTCTTTTCATCCTATAAGCAGGCCTAATATTCAGCAGTAAAAATTTTGATGGAAATTAATAAACGAGACATTTAAATTTTTTATTGTGATGCGGCAAGAGAAACATGACATATCGTCATGACATGTACTATATATTCTGCAGCGGTGAAGAGTTTCGGGAATATAACGTCACCGTCTTACACCTCAGTGTTACTTAACTTATATTCTTTTGAATCATTCTTGCCTATTCACAAATATTACTTAAATTATCTTAGTTATTATTTTATAATTTTAGTTCATCTTAAAAGCTCATGCCGATCAAATGCGTGCTTTTGTAGCAATATAAATGAGTTTTAAGCTTTTGTAGCAGTAATTCCTTAATTATTTATGGTGGTTTACTGCTATTATAGAATAAGCCAAAATGATCTTATGGCCACAGATAGATAGAGGTTTAATAATACAGTATAACTCTACTTCTCACCATTGTTAAGCAATCCATTGTTAAATTAAATTAGGCCCTCAAGTAAAGCCCAAAGTAGAAAAAAAAGTATGCCGTACTCGCCAGACATTCAAGAATGAATATCACATTGGTAGAGTCATGCTGCAGCTATATTAGTAGTATAGTTGTAACACGAATGCTTTGGCTCGACCAGGGAAGAACTACGCTCTCACAGAATACCTGCGTAAAATAGCAGTTTAACATTGCTGTGTTGTATGGTGAGTGTAGAGAATCGTACACTCTTTTTACTGGAAAAGAGGCATTCCATCTTAATCCTCACGAGTGACAACGCATCTACATTTTGATTATTTATTGAGGATAGCTATATATGTCTATGGGTAACAGTAACCACTTACCATAAGGTGGACTGTGTGCTAGTTTGTCAACCTAACCTATAAAGAAAGTGCAATATCAAACATCTTGCACCTTCAACACTATGTTCCTTCAATAATATCTTCATCTTCACCATCATCAGCCCGTAAACATCCACTGCTTGTAAAAGCGCAAGCAGATTAACGGTAGCAAAACCAGACGTATAGCACCATTGACGGGGACTGCCCGTCACCATTCTGGGCATTTTATGTCTGAGGTAAAACAGATAGTTATACTGCCATTGTTTGTATGCCATAAAATATTTCTGGCATTTCCTATAGTAGCCACTTACGACGCCTACAAGATGTAATGGGAAGATGGATTTTCTTTCACCACTCACACATCTATGTACTGTTACGGTTTCCCAATACTAGGATAAACCCTTAATCATGGATAATAACTGATTACATAGATTTCCTCTAAATAGTCTTGTCATCCTTTAAAGACAACTCTGCTTCCCGCTCCCGGGGAACGAGTCAGTCTCTGCCCAACCGCTGAATCCCTAACACCTCTGTATTATCGCGTGTCTGCCAGTTTCGCCTCCGGGCCAATTAAAATTTGTGACCAATTCTATTTCTAATAATACTATTTCCTTTGTGTAATAAGTGTTTTGTTTTAAAACCTAGTTTACGAGGTCCCGTATAACAGTACGAATGGTTACAAATAATATCTAGTATTACCGTACCCAATATAAGACAATTGGGCCTTTTCTCGGCGTCCAGCACCGACCGCATCGACGTAGCACTCACTAAGGCATTTCTAAACGCTTCAGCACTTCGTTCGTCCGACGCGTTCAACTCTACTGGTCTATAACCTAAAAATACAAATTGGAAACTTTATAAGACTGCAGGATTAGGCAACTCGACCAAATATCAACATGAATTTTGTTTATATGCCAAGTATTATTAATTCCCTATAACTGCGCTATCTAACTAAAGTCATGAGTAGGGGAAATGGGTGGATCATCAGAAAGATCTTACCATTAAAGACTATCAAAGGTCTACTGCTGAACATAGGCCTCCCCCATAGTGCCTGGGCGAATATTTGCCATAGTTGACACGCTTGGGCATCAGATTGGCAACCGCAGTTATTTTATATATTTTTACATAGCTGTTATCAGAAAGATGCCCAGATGTCCATCTCTTACTACAATTTTCCTCTGTCACCTCTTACGACATCTACAGGATGATATGGGCAATAGATATTCTTTGTGACCTTTCCAAAGCTTTCGATTGTGTTCATCATGATACATTAATCATGAAACTACCACATTACGGTGTAAAAAATTTGGCGCTTAAACTTATTACTTCATATTTAAGTAACAGAACTCAAAAAGTCGTCATTAATGGTAAATGTTCCTCCGGATCGGTAGTATCAATGGGCGTTCCTCAGGGCTCGATTCTTGGCCCATTCCTGTTCTTAATCTATATTAATGACTTACCTTATCTTGTAGGGGACAATCACGATATAGTATTATTTGCTGACGATACCTCTTTAATTTTCAAACTGAAACGGCAGTCAATTAAATATGACGATGTAAATAATGCTCTATCGAAACTAGTACATTGGTTTAACGCCAACAATTTGCTCTTAAACGGCAATAAGACAAAATGTATTAAATTTACAATACCTAATGTAAAACATTCGAAAACCAATGTGCTCTTAAATGGGGAGGAGTTGAGTCTTGTGGATACCACTGTTTTTCTCGGTATTACTATTGACGCGAAACTTCAATGGGGCCCCTATATATCTAAATTAGCAAGCAGACTTAGTTCTGCAGCATATGCTGTAAGAAAGATTAGAAGTCTCACAGATGTTGAGACAGCTAGGTTAGTGTATTTTAGTTACTTTCATAGCGTAATGTCTTATGGAATTTTGCTATGGGGTAATGCGACTGATATTGAAGCTATATTTGTTTTGCAAAAGAGAGCCGTACGGGCGATTTATAATCTAAATTGTAAAGAGTCCCTTAAAGAAAAATTTAAAGAAATAAACATATTAACTTTGGCATCGCAATATATTTATGAAAATGTAATGTATGTACATAAAAACATAAATAGCTTTAATAAGAATAAGGATGTTCATACCTTAAACACTAGGAACAAACATAAGCTTGTAATGCCACTTACTAGACTCCACAGAATTAGTAATTCATTTATGGGGCAATGTATATGCTTTTACAACAGAATCCCAGAACATGTTCAAAGTTTGTCAATAAACAAGTTTAAAAGTTTTATTAAAGAAAAACTGTACAAAAAGGGTTATTATAATATCAAGGAATACATGAATGAAGATAACCCCTGGGAATAAGGTGATCGCCACCATGCTGGTTCTATGAAAATTCATTTAAAATTGTATAAACAAAATTATTGTTAAGTGAAATTATGTTTAAAAAATAAAATAATGACTTTCAATAAGTATTATGTAATAATCCATATTGAATAAAAATCATTCTATTCTATTCTATTCTTATATCGCCACCATATAGTTAACACCACGCAAAATAAACAATACTGACTGAAATTACTTTGCCTATATCCGCTTAATAAAAATCATATGTCTTACCTAGTTTGAAGAGCACCTCTCGCCCTCCCTCAATAGCGTGCACTATCCCCGTCACCACTAATCCCAGCACCACTACTCCCAACAGTACTAGACTAGGAAAGACACACTACGCCACGTATTTCGCCTTCTACTGACTGACTTAATTTCTTTTAATGCAAATTTCAGCTTACATGCTATGGATACCACTGTTACATAGTCTATCACATGCCGATACTCCAAGCATAGTGCTCTAATATAATGGTTCAAACGATTCTGAACATATTCAAATAAGTATTGGCTACTTCATTCCAAGAGGCATTTTTTGGAATATCCATTATATTACAAAATAAATTAAAAACTTTCGATTAATTATAAAAGCTTGCATGAAAAGTGTAATATGCTTTCATGTTTTGAATTTGCAATATATCTTAAACCTCCAATGATCTGTTTGACATTTATGTCAACATAAAAGCAATAATAGTTTTGCTTGTACAAAAATAATTTTGTAGACTTTACTTGCTCCTGCTTTAAAAGTGATGGTAGCAGTTGCCACAGTTTATAAGAGCACTAGGGGATGGACATAAATAGATGACTAACCGGCTAATCGAGCTAAAAGGTGCGCCAAAGTAGTCTTTCCAACCCCAGGAGGTCCACATAGCAATGCCACCTTATGGTGTGGTCGTCCATCTTCATCTATCTCAGGCTCAGACTCTTTCTTGCCCTTCCATTTGTTTGTCAACTGGAACTGACCGGCCCTCTTACTGAAACTGTTGCGTTGTTGAGGATCCTTCATTTTTACATCCTTTTTAAACACTACCTAAAACATACATATTTATTAATATATAGCAACAACCCGTTTAATAGGCGTAAGTCTCCCTTTTTTGTCTAGGAATCAATCTTATATAATACTTGTCTGACAAACTACTACTTATCTAATGCTAGTGTACCCATAGAACATAGGGAAAAAGAAGGGAGTATAATTACAGAGCCATGTTGGTCAGGGACATATAGGATTTACGTTTATATGGGACTTCTAACAAAAAAGAATGTGTAAATGATATATACTGCATATTACAGATATTACCTATGATAACAACTGCGTTATTTGTGTGGCATGTGACAGAATGGATAATTGGGCTTGTGATTATGTAGGCGATGGCCACCTATCACTTACAAAATTTTACTTCTAAACCCATATTTTTGGCTATATGTGGTTTGAGTAGCTCGTTGCTCTTTGGACTGTGCCTATCCCCTTGGGGTTAATGGCGTGAAGCTGAATGGATTGTGATTTTGTTTTGTTACTCCAATGAATTAGGTAATAACAAGAAATGTTTTATAAATGTAATAACTTAACATAGGGATAGATAACATTAATCTACTATGTTACACTGGTATTCTGCGAGAGCGTGGTCCTTCCCCGAATTTGATTAAATTTCATACAATTTCAGTAATTTTTAGTCAATCTGCAAAATTCTACATAATGAGTAGAAATTATCAAAACTCGACGACAGAAATACTTACATTGTTTAAAATGTTTTCACTCCAATTCCAACTTTATGTTAGCTCTAACACAATAAATAATTTTGATTAGTTTAATTTTTAAAATAAATATGCAAGTTGTTAATAATCGAATGTAGTCGAAGAGAGAACGTAGTAATAAGCAAGAAATATAATTTTGGCCAACCTTATCCCAAAGATGTAGCCAGTGCAGCAAAGCCCTATTAACAGGTTCCTCAGACAAAAGATCAAGATAGGAGTGTGGACGGTACTTTTCAACCCATAACATAGCACTCTGATTTTCTCCATGTGGTGCAACCTCTGATACTTCTTCTTCTTTTTGAACTCTTTCTTGTTCTTTTTTTTCTAGCTGAAAAAGTACGTGCTTATTAATTTTTTCCTTGGTACAAATTATAGTATATCACAAAATATCTGCAAAACTACATAATTGTGAAAAAATATGTACCATAACATAACATCTAACCACGTTCTCGGCGGAAAAGGAAAATGTTGTGAGGAAATCGGCATGTCTCTGGAATACAATATTTCGAGGACATCTGAAGTCAACACGCACTGAAGCAACGAGGTGGACTAATTGTTCCATAGCAATTTCAGAAATGAGAGGCTGTGCCTAGCAGTAAGACATACTTGCAGTAGGATTCAACATTTCATTACAAATTCAAATTCAAATTCAAATTCAAATTTCATTTATTTACAAGAATGTAGTTACAAAAAAGGTGTTGTTGCAATATTAAGGCGCTAATACATTCTACCCACTATTTGGGTGTGCAAATATTTAAATGGAAATAAGTTAATTAAATTACACTACACCAACACTACACAGATTCTTTGCGTCACTATTGTTAAACGTCACTAATTCCTTCACAGATTCCGCAATGTAATAAGTTCTTGAATATCATAAAATTGTTTCTCCATTAACCATTTCGTCAGTTTCTTCTTGAATATATTTACTGGGAGATTCTTAAAGTTATCCGGTATTTTATTATATATTGTAATAGTCATAAATATCACACTATTTTTTGCTTGATTTATTCTACATGTTGGAAAGTGCAGTTTATTTTGATACCTCGTTAACATATGCAAATTTACTTCTACTTTCTTTTTAAAATATTTTGGGTGGTATTTAACAAATAAACATACTTCTCTTATATATATGCAGGTTAGTGTAAGGATACGTAATTTACCGAACATTGGTTTGCAACTGTCCCTTTGATGTAATCCGCACAAGGCCCGGATACATTTCTTTTGTGCTACAAATACTTTCCGCACCTCGCAAGACTGTCCCCAAAGAATTATTCCGTAAGAGAGTATCGACGATATATATGCATGGTAGGCATTTATTGCAGCATTCATAGATACAGTATCTCTTAGGCGACGTAATACGTAAACGAAACGATTTAACCTATTACAAGTATATTCAATATGACTGTCCCATTTTAGACCTTCGTCTACCAGAACACCTAAGAATTTATGGTGTTTTACCTGTTCGATTACTTGATCATTACATTTTATGTCTAGATTAATTTTGGTGCAATTCTTTGTATAATATTGAATTATTTTTGTTTTTACTAAGTTTATTTTCAGATTATTATTTTGTAACCATTTTACTATATTATGTAATGCTGTATTTATATCTCTCTCATATGTATTTTTGTCCGTGCATTTAATAATAATCGTCGTGTCGTCTGCAAATAAAATTGTTTTGTGTTTCACTGATCTCGGTAAATCGTTAATATATAAGAGGAATAAAAATGGACCGAGCACACTTCCTTGTGGTACACCTGATTTATTAACTTTTTTCTCTGACCTATATGAGTTTCGTGTTTGATTTATCATTTTATGAATCTCCACATACTGATATCTATCATTTAAGTAACTTGCAACCCATTCTTTAGCAATTCCTCTTATGCCATATTTCTCCAACTTAAACAAGAGTAATTGATGGTCCACAAAATCAAATGCTTTGCTCATATCTAAGAATATAGTGGCTGCTGGTTTTTTTTCAATAAAGGCTTGAATTATTTCTTTTACCATGTCGAAGCATGCTAAAGAAGTAGAACTATTTTTTCTAAATCCAAACTGTTCCCGACATAATATTTTGTTTTTATCAACATAATTTTGAAATCTTTCTAAAATTACCTTTTCAAATATCTTAGATAAAACTGGAATTAGTGCTATCGGTCTGTAGTTTTTAATATCATTTGGATCATCTTTTTTATATAACGGTTTTATAACTGATGTTTTTAGAACATGAGGAAAAGTTCCTTGCTCCATAGATAAATTGACAAGAAAGGATAACGGTTTGCAAATATGTACACTGGAAGCCTTTAGTATTTTTGTACTTATACCGTCTGTTCCTACGGAATTCGTGTTATTTAGGGATTTTATTACTTTTAAAATTTCGTCACTGCTTGTTGGTGTCAAGAATATTGTATTACATTTTTCCGTAGTCAATGTTGTTTTTATTTCAGTTGCTTCATAATTAAAATTTGTTTGATTTGTTATGTTAATAAAAAAGTTATTAAATTGTTCACATATATCATTCATTGAGTTGTATACATTATTATTGACTACAATCTTTTCTATTTCTTTAATATTGTTTTCGTCATTAATATTATTAGATATCATATGCCATAAAGCCTTATTTTTATTTTTTGATAATTTAATAAATTTTTCACATTGAATTTGTTTTGACTTAAGAATGCACCTTTTTAGAATATTTTTGTATTTTATATAATAACCCCAACTATTTGTAAATGTTTTCCTGTAATATATACTTTTTAAATATAGCAGTCGCTTTCGTACACAACATTTCTTCAATCCTTTGGTTATCCAATTAATATTAGGTTTTCCTGTGTTTCTCTTTATCTTAACAAATGGGAAACAGAGATTGTAAAACAGTTGGAATAATTCATAAAAAGTATTAAAGCATTCATTTAAGTTATTAAATTCATGTATTTCAGAGAAACTCAATGATGCCATGCACTCACAAAATTTACGTATATTCTGCTTACTGTAATCTCTTTTTGTTTCAAACCAGGACACATTTACTTTGGGTTTAATCATATTTACTTTTAATATCTGTGCAGTTTCGTGATCTGATAAACCAAGATGAAGTACTTCTGCTGTTACGCCTCTTTTTATATTTGTCGCTATTTGATCTATGCATGAATTTTTCCTAGTAGGTGTTTTTATTAAACATTCAATATTATAGTTCTGAAGTAAAGTATTAAGTTCATCTGAAAACTTAGTTTTTTTAAGAATATCAATATTCCAATCACCGCATATTATTATTTTTTTATTTTTAGTTGCAATTTTTTGTAGTGTAAGTTGAAGTTTTTCAATAAAAATCTCTATACTTTGACTTGGAATTCTATAAACACAAATTATCACTGTATTTAAGTGTTTTAACTCTATACCACAACACTCAAAGAATAAATTACAACCAAGATCCTTTATTAAGTCTAGATTAATACATGAAATGTCCTCTTTGACCAGAATGCATGTTCCACCTCTTTTTTGTTTGCGAGAAAACGATGATATCAATTTATATCCTGGTAATTTAAGTAGCTTCTCATTTCCTTTTCTAATAAATGTTTCACATAAGCATATAATGTCAATAATGTGGGACTTACTTAATTGAGATATTGCCAAGTACAGCTCTTCTGACTTATTTATGGCTCCGGCTATGTTTTGATGTAATATTGTCAAATATCTGGATTTAGGGACGAAAAAAATTTGGATTCGATGAAAAGTTTTCATTGTTCGGTAATATATTACTATTTGATGTATCCTCACTGTTCAGTTTTAAAGTGTTTTCATTTATTGTCTTTTTAAAATAATATGGAATTGTACCTTTTTTTACTTGATTTGATTTATTTCGTTTGTTTTTTAACAAACCGCATTTTTTTGACGAAGAAAGCCTTTCTAAGATCTTTTTTGTATTTAAAAATGTATTCGAGTATTCGATACTGTCAATTTCTATGTTTATTTTATTTATTAAATTTTCAATATAATTAATTCTTGAATTATAATATTTGTAATCTTCGTCAATATCAATATATGAACAATTTTTATAGCCTCTTAAAAATAGCTTTATTTGTGCGTTTAATAATTTTTCATTTAGGCAACGGTTATATCTAACATTTAGAATAAATACTTTGTTATTTTTTAATTTACCCATTAAGTCTAGTAAACCTGAAATAAGTTGATATGGATTTTTGTCGTTTACATTACAATAGCCATCTACTTTGATGGTATAAATAAAGAGGATTTGACTACTACAAATGTTAACACGCTCAGCGCCATGTGTATTGTTAATGATACACACTGTCAACACATTGTGTATCGCTCACGATACACAGCCTTTGCCAAGGAGAGTTTTTTAGTTGTTTTGGGGTTGGGGATAGGACATATGGTTCTTGAGATATTGAAGATTTAATTTGGAAGAAAAAATAATTGCTTTGCACTAGTTTTATTTATAAAAAAAATCAAAATTATAAACACATTTCTTACAACTAATAATCATCTTTAAGAAGGAAAAACCTCCGGTAATCCTCTTATAACCATGTTTGAAAAAAAAAACTATAAAATCTTAGGAATATAAATTCTATGAGTATTCTGTTCTAGTGAGTTTTATTGAAGCATTTTCGGCATAGAAATATATCACAGGTAGAGCACTTCGTTCCAACCTGTGCTGCTCTAACCTTCTTGCCATTTATAATTTTTCCCTCCCTTCCATACATATTATAACACTCTTTACAGCGTCCACGAACGAACTTTTCACCGACCTTATTGTCTATGAGGTAGTGTTTCACATTCGGCGCCTTCCTTTTTGAAAATGATGTTGAAGGTATAGGCGCTATATCTACTCTCTGAGAACACTTGTCAATCATATCTACAATAACCTGTTCTCGGAACTCTGTGATTGTCATTTTCTTTGCTGATGTATTTAGATTATAGAGGAGATGAGCATTCACCAGAGAAGTTCCGCACAAAATTTCGATAAACAGCTTACGATACCATTTCGTACATCGCCTAAGAGCTGAGCCATATGTTGCCATCTGATCACTTATATCGATCGAAGATTTTCCATTATTGTAGTCTACAATGCACTCCGGTTTGAAAATGGCTGGCTTATTCCTGTTCTGAGCTGTGACTGTCTTGAGCGCAGATGTTTTAGTAGACAGCATCCCCACATCACGCTTGTCTCGCCATTTCAGTGCTATTATCCCATCATTAGTTTGCTTGGCACACATCTCTCCTCTCTTCAGTTTCATAGACATAACGTCTTTTGGTAGGTGCTTTCTGTTAACTCTTAGGATTCCAACTAGGTGAATCTTTCTGTGTCTTAGTCGATATGCTAGAGGGACACTGGTGTAGAAATTATCGGTATACATTGTCCTACCTTCATCAAGCAGACCTTCTGCGAGAGACATGACTGTTTTCTCTGATACATCAGACTCTTTGGACTTGGATTTGCCAGAGTATACTTCCAGATTCCAAGTATATCCCTTGTCAGTGCATAATTAAAAAAATTTAATACCATATTTGGCAGCTTTATTTGGTATGTACTGGCGGAATATTAGTCTTCCGCGCCATGGAATAAGAGACTCATCAATGCAAATCTTATCTCCAGGAATATAAGCCTTTTTGTAATTTGAAATGAATTTATCAATGACTTTCCTCACTTTTTTCAGTCTATCATCTGCATCTTCAATGCTCTTGTCTGAAAAGTCGATGTATTTCAAAATCAGCTCAAATTTATTTCTCGGCATAACGGATCTTGCTAGCGGTAATCCATATAGCCTATGAACTCTCCAATAATCCTTTATGCTTGGGAGTTTTACAAGGCCCATCCAACCAACAAGGGCAAGAAATTTTGTCATATCATCCACCGTTACTGGGACCCATGCATGGGTTCGGCTGCTTGGAGTTGTATCCGTTGTAAGCAACTGTTGAGCAGCGTATAAATTGGTTTGGTCAACTACTTCCTCTAAAATATCTCTAGTCAGAAACCTCCAGAATGCCAGAGAATATATCCTTCATCCCAGAGAATGGAACAGTGTACTAATACTTTCTGGATCTTCATGTGATGGCATCTCCCATTTTATGTTTTCCAACTTTCGTTTTAGCCAAGTCATCTCTGTTGTTTCAGGAGATGTTGTACCAGAGGAACTTGGAATATTAGCTTCTGAGCTTCGAGTATCTGCCAACTGTGTCCTTAGTACTCTACGTCTCTGTATATTAGGAAGAGAGGGCAACATATCATCGGAAAACGTGGATTGTCTTCTTTGTGGAGCAAGTAGATTCCAGGTTTCTGATGCTGAATCTGATTCGCTGCTTTCCTCTTCGGAGCCGTCATCACAGGGATTATAGTTAGGATCATATGTAGAGTCGTCACTATTAAGATCCATTTTTTATTTTGTTCTAAATGCACTTTACACATATATTTTACAATTATTCTGAAACAAATGAAAAAAAGTTAGGAAAACTATTATAAAACAAATCATTGAAGTTTTCCTAATTTTTTTTTCAATTTGTTGATATTTTTCTTCATTTGTCTCCCATATTTCTCAAATCTAAAAAGAAAGAAAAATTAAATTAGTGTGTATCTATAACGATACACGTGGCCTGGGAAAATGGTTATGAGTCAAAACTTTTTCGTAGGCCACGTGTATCATTATCGATACACAGCGAAAAATAAGGGGGGAGTGGTGGGGAGGGGAAGAAAATAAATTATTATAAACTCTAGGACATTAAAAAGCTCATATAGAATACTTTTAAATATTTGTCTCAAATCGTCTGAACATCGAGTCTTAGCTTGGCGCTGAGCGTGTTAATATGCCCTGTGTTAAAACTTTCATGCTTACCGATTTTCAGACACTATATAGTAAGAACAATCCATGATTTTTTATTTAAAATAGATCAATATAGTGAGACAATGATGTGGGAATAACTCTGACTACTAATATTATTTTCAGATATTTTTCTTTGTTAAAACTTACATTTTTTTTTTGTTGTTGTATTATTTTATTATAAGTTGTAATTATTGTAACATACCTACAATATTTTTTGTCTATTACTTCTACATTTTGCTAAAATATTTGACTTGTCACAGATAATTTTTTTGTTTTTTAGGATTCTGTATCCAAAGGGTAACCAACGGGATGTAATAGGTGGACAGTTGAAATTGTCACAGAATGTGTATTTCTGTTGCCAATATAACAACAAATAATAAAAATAAAAATAAATTAAAAATTAAAGGGGGCTCCCTTACTAGAAACATGTTTTACGATGGTACGGAACCCTTAATGCGCAAGTCCCTCTCAGAATGAAATTAAAGCCAATTTCATTCTGTCTTTAACTATATAAATATACTTACAATTTTGTGCGCCTCCTCCCATGCAGAAGCATATGTAGCTCGTAGTGACAACTGTCCTGTATTAATGTCCAATGATTTATCCCAAGAATCTTCAGATTCGAGTCTTATATATAAACGGTCCCCATTAGAATTTGTTATTGGAACAAAAGACCATCTGTTATATAGAAATAAATGTTCATCATTTTATCCTAAATAAAAGTGGATACTGTGACCCAAAGACACATCTTATCCAATTAAGATTCAAAACACAGATGGTGAGGATGATTATCCCTGAGGACTAAAAAAATTGCTTCTTTACCAGCAAAAAAACTGTTGATGCCATCTTGTGAAATGACAGCAAAACAGTAGCAGGCAATGACACAATAATCTTCCTCTCCCTTCCACAATCCACCAACCAATCACTTGGTTAGCAGTTTGCTTTACAGCATACAGCAATAAAGGGGAATAGTTTGCCAGCATGTCTTTCCGGTAACAATGTGGGTGTCTCAAAGCCAAGAATAAATAAATAGGCTTTTACTAAGTTAAATCAGTGGTTATTCAACTTTAAGGCTAGGAATTTTGAATGTTGTGTAACAAATAGTTGAATAAACTGGCAGATTATGCATTCAGCCTTCAGGATTCAACGAATGTTCAAGAATCAAACAGGAGTTCTAGGCCAACAATACCTTCCTTCTCCTCTTAAAATTCAGTTTTTCTAAATAAGCACCTATTCTTTATTAGGTTCAACATAGAACTTTTCTATATTAAAGCAAAAGATCATTATAGCTCAGAGCCCAATAGATCAAACTTTTGACTAGTGTACTACGACTTATGAAGAAGTTACAAATTAAAAAAAAACTGTTACCTTTTAATTCTTTCCAATAGTTTAGATGTTACTTTTTTAATTATTTCCAATAGTTGTATTATTTGATAAACTCCTTATATCTAATTATACCTAAGTGACCACCCAAATTACATACAATGGTCTATATCTATGATACCAGTAGATCATCAATCCAATACAAGGATTACAACCTACTAAAGTCCACTGCTGAACATGGGCCTTCCCCATAGATTGCCACGTAAAGGGGATTTTGCCATTGTTGCCAAGCTTAGCAGGCAGGTTGGCAACCACAGTTTTATTTATTTTGTTTTGTTATCAGGAAGTACTACTGCCAATTTCCTGGTTCAGTTTCCCTATGTCGCCTGTAACAACACCCACAGGATGATATGGGGAAGTGGGTATTCTTACATGGCCCCTAACCAGTAGACCAACCAAGTAATATTGAATAGTCATATTAAAATTACCTTGGTATGTTGATCGATATATTTTTTTTCACATCAAAGTTCACTTTTTTGTCAACTTTAACGCGATTTGTAGGCTCTAATAGCATTTGTTTAAGTCTCCTTCCCTCCAAAATTTTATTAATTAAGTCCATATCAGTTTCTTCTTCTGTCTTTTGTCTTTTACTTGGTAACTCAATACTATCAAAGTCAATGTCACCTATATCACCAAATAAATCCTCTGCAGTTCTTTTGGTCGAAGAATTTGTTGAAGGTATAAGAACATCTTCCATATTTTGTAAGCTAGGTGTTAAAGATATTGCATCATCTTTTTTTTCTGATACTTTTTTATCATCCTTTTCATTAGATAAATTGTTAGCATTATGATTTGAGAAATCTAAACTTCTTTTTGCTGGTAGTGGCTTGTTTTTAATTGGGTTCAAATCTAGATAAAAAAATAATTTCGTTAAAATGAATATTATACATACAGCGTGCCGCTTCAATGGTGACTTTAATTTAACACACAGGTAAGGCTAGTGCCCATTAATCATAAATAATTTTGATAGGTTAAAATAACTCGTAAATTGAAATTTTTTTTCTCAAACAAACTTAGTAATAAAAAAGTAACTAAAATTAGGATCATCCTTGTATTTGTCATTACGATCACAAGTTTACAAAAGCACTAATAACACAAATAAAAAAATTCCGTATCGCAAGAGATGTAAGCTTACCTACTAGATTAGAAAACGAAAACAAAAAGTGTCTTTATCGCAGTAGGTACCATAATCTAATTACTATTCTAATTACACAAAAATTAATAAATAAAACAATACAACAGTTCTCTAAGTACAGGTTGCTCTAAGATGCTATTTTCTAAAATTTTAAATAAATCCGTAAATAATAACATTTAATGGAAATATAATTTCTTCATGAAACGGAAATGGGGAAACGTATATGTGTGTTAAATTAGTCACCATTGTTGCTGCACGTTGTATATGTATGAATATAATCATTAACTGTATTATAACACTTCTAAAGTTTATATACTTAAGTAATTAATTTTATTATCATCATCATCATCATTATGTCAGCCCTTCACAAATCCATCGTCTTGTGCCACCTTCTAGTGGATGATTACCATACACTTCACTTACCAGTAGGCATAAGTAACTCTTCTAAAATGAATAAAAAAATTATCAACAGCTTATTTACCATGTAGTGGCAGTGTAAGAATATCCACTACCCCATGTTGTCCCATCGACAGAGGGAAATGAAACAGGAGATGAGTGGCTGCATCTTCCTGATAACTGTTTAAAATAATTTAAAAAAGCTGCAGTTGCCAATCTGCTTGGCAAGTGCAAAACTTGGCAACTATGTAAAATATCCCTAGAAAGCAATCTATGGCAAGACTTATGTTCAACAGTGAGTTTCTAATAGGCTATTATGGAATTATGGATTAAACAAGTCAACAACAACAACATACTCAAAACATAACTCAAAATTAAATCATGAGTAAAATTAATGCATGTGTAACAAAAACTACTTTTTGACCTGTCTTATCTTCAATTTCTCGCATTAGCTCGAACTCATCGGAATACATGAGTTCGTATTCTTCATCGGGATCAGGATAGTCACACATTTTGGAGTATAATGTTAAATCAAAAATAAGTTCGAAATTTAAAACTAACGACAAAATATTTACATAATTTTAAGGATCTGTTATAAATAGAAAGTTTATAGATATAAAAAAGTGCGATGGACAAAAACGTATATTATTAATAATAACACAGTATTTTTATTTATATAATTTATATGCCCGCCAAGACAAGATCCCAAAACGCCAAATTTGATTTTGATTGTTGTTGTTTTTATTATTCGCTCGAAAGAGCAAGCAAAGGAACTACGCCATACAGCCTTGTCTTTTTTATTTTGAGTTTATAGAATTTCACTGCTTCACAATATGTTGATGCGTCACATTGTGCAGCCCTTGGGAGATTTTGACGGCAACTAGAGCCAGCAGACAGCTGACAGTTGGCGATGGTATCTAAAGGCGCCTATGCAAACAAACAGCTTATCTTGAGAATCCATCACCATCAGAGCACTTGTTTCACCGTTTCCACTTATAGTTCACATCAGACAGTTAATACATAAAATCGCACCACTTTTACATATCAAATTCCACTTCAAACTATTATTTAAACTATAATACAGGAGCAGCAAACCGCCGCCGGTTAAGTTCCCGCCAAAAACTCCGCCTAGGGATGATCGATGATCATCGATGTCAAGAATGAAAACATCGATGTTTTAACATCGATGTTTTCATTCTTGATGTCATTAAATCGTTGTCATTAAACCCATAATCGATTATTGGGTACTTGCGAATCTGCGAAATCAATATCAACTAAATCTTACATCTCCTCTAAAATAACAAAAAAATTTGGAATAATTCAGAATGCTTGAACGTATCGAGTATCTTGAAGTATCAACTGTAATGTCGCAGATTTCGTTTGTTATTGGTGTCGTCATTGGTTATATGTTTCTTTATCAGTTGTTTTAAAAAAAATCCGATGGTTGATCTTAAACACGATCCAATGCACGTTTAGAACAATGTAATCGGTAGGCGTATTACGTATCTTGCAGAAGGCTAGCGATAGCGAAATTAGAGCAATAATTGCTGATAAATCAGCAATAACCAAGCTAACTAGCGACAGCGCTGCCTTGTAGTCGCTAGTTAGCTAGGGCTTGGTTATCGCTGGTCGAAAAGTACGTATCTGCGATTTATCAGCAATTATTGTTCTAATTTTGCTATCGCTAGCCTTCTGCAAGATACGTAATACGCCTACGGTTCTACCTATCAAATCAAATCATTTATTTCGCTAAAAACATGGGTACAGACGGATGGATACAGAGTCAATATTTGTTTCCACATATTTTGCCATTCGTTGCATGCGAAAAAAAATTTTTTTTAATATAAATGTGTTCAAACCAAATGAACTAACATTAGAAATGTACACAAAATATCCCAGTATGTAACTACCGCTTTGTAATGATTACATTTGTTTTTAGAAGAACATATCAAAATTCGAAAAATAACCTTAATTTAATTGAGAAGTATCACGCAAAATCCTGGATCTATAGTAACTTACTTAACTAAACAAAATCAACAAAAAAGAAATCAAAAGCAAAATCTAAATTTATAGTTAAAGAATTCTTTGATCTTATAAAAGGCAGTATTTATTAGCCACTGCTTTAAACTTTTTTTCATTAGCGTTAATGGCTGTTCACGAATATTTTTAGGAAATTTATTATATATCTTGATACACATTACGAGACAATTCCAGTTCACTCTACTGTCTACTGATGCCACCTTGTAGAACTGTACAGAAGTGCAGTTCTACAAGGTGGCATCAGTAGACGTGTCGGATATCTTTTTGCAAATTTATTATTTTCCTGCACGGTAACAAATTGATTTGTATTATTTTTAACAAAAAACGCGGATTTCTAATATATATAACCCAGTTAAAGTGAGAAGATATTTTTCCTTATACAGGGGTCTACAGCTCTGTAGAGGGCCTGCGTTACACAGTGCACGAATACATTTCTTCTGGCTTAGAGAGGCTCTGTTTGCGTCTGTTGAATTGCCCCACAAGATTAATCCATATCTTAAGACGGATTCAACGTACCCGTGCATAAACAAATTGATTAATTTTTTTGCATACCTTATTAATGTGTAATTTCCAGTTGACATGCTGGTCAATAGCAACACCTAGGAATTGTGTATCTTCTACCTCTACCATTCTTTCGCCATTATATGTTAAGTCTAATTTTTGTGGTTTTATTTTATCATTTCCAAATTGAATATATTTAGTTTTGTTAGTGTTGACTTGTAAATTATTATCTTCTAGCCATGATATAACTGCTTTTATAGTGGAATTTATCTCTTGTTCATATATCTGCGAATTATTAGTGTGGGGTATAACAATTGATATGTCATGACTGATGCTTTGTTATACTCAGTAAGTCATTTATATATAGAATGAACAATAAAGGCCCTAAAACATTTGCTTGAGGTACCCCATAGTCATTTTGTAGATAAGGAGATCTGTAATATGTTAACTCTAGATTATTATTAATACGTGGTACTTCAAGACATTGTTGCCGATTTGTCAAATAGCTTTTGATATTCCAAAGCCGGTCCTCTGATTCTTAGTTTTTCACATTTGTACAACAACGTGCTATGTTCTACACAGTCAAAGACTTTAGACATATCAATAAAGATGGCTACTATTGGCACTCTATTATTAATATATTCAGTTATTCGGCGTATCAGTGAAAAGGTAGCAAGTGTAGTAGATTTTTGCTTTTGAAAGCCATTTTGTTCGTTTCTGAGTATATCATATTTTGCTACAAAACTAGTAATTCGACTATGCATGGCTTTTTCAAATACTTTGGATAGAATGGGTACTAACGTAATCGGCCTGTAGTTATAGTTATGAATCTCAAGACGGTCATCTTTTTTAAATAAGGGTTCGACTATAGATTTTTTTAATTTATCTGGAAATCTTCCATGTATGAAAGAAAGGTTTATTAAATATGTCAGAATTGGAGCAAGTTCCTTTACACATGTTTTCAGTATGTATGTAGTAATAGAATCATAACCAGCAGATTTAGTATTATTAAGAGAGTTTATTATAAGTATGATTTCATTTAATGAGCAAGGTTTTAAAAATATCGATGATCGAACATCTTCATACATATTCCTTTTAGTTTTATTATTTAAAGAAGAAGAGTCACGAAGAGCTGCATTAATAAAATACTCGTTAAATTTACTGGCAATGTCGAAAGGATGATCTATTTTAGTTCCTTTACAATTAATCCAGTCAATATTATTATTTCGTATATCATTATATTCATAATTTTTAATAATTTCCCAGGTAGCTATACTTTTACTTTTTGAATGTAACAGGTGTTGCATGTTTAAATTTTTTTTTGACCATGTTATGCATCTTTTTAATAATTTTGAATATTTGTAATAAATTACTTGGTTTTCTAAACTTTTGTGTTCGTAATATTTATGTTTTAGTTTTCTTTTAGTTTTACTCGCAACTCTTATACATTTTGTGATCCACTTTGGAGCGAGATTGTCTGTTTTGATTTTATATTTTTGTAATGGAAAGCAGAGGTCATATAACAAACAAATTAAATCATGAAATTTATTAAAAATCTTATTAAAAGTGTCATCTGTAGTTTCTTTTTCCCACGGTATATTTCGGAGACATTTACGAAACTTATCAATATTTTCCTTAGAGTAATTTCTTTTGGTAGTATACTAGTATTTAATTTTAGGTAGCAGTCTATTTGGAAATCTTAGAGATTGACAGATGTTATGACCTGATAAATGAAAATTGTACAGGTTACTAGAAACATCCGACCCTTTGAAATTGCTAGCTATATTATCAATAAATGTGTGATGTCTCGTAGGTTTATCATTATGTATTTTAAGGTTGTAGTTGTATAATAAATTTTTTAAGTCATCAGTGACGTTATTATTTTTAAGCGTGTCAATATTAAAGTCACAAGATCTAATTTGTTGAAAAATATTGATACTGGCGAATTGGGAGTTCTATATACACAAAAAATTATACAGTTGTAACTTGGTACCTCTATACCGCAACACTCGAAAACTTTGTATGCAGATAATTCATGGTACAATTGTATAACTTTAAATTCTATTGACTTTCTAATAAGGATACATACTCCCCCACGTTTTTCTTTTGTTCTACAATATAGTGAAGCTAATTAAAAATGTTTAAACTTAATGTTACTCTCATCTCCCTTTTTAATAAATGTTTCACTAAAACATAAAAAGCTTATTGATTGCCCCTCGTTTATTAGCTCATCAATACATTACAATACATACAGTTCTATCGAATCAGTTTTGTTAAGCAAATCTGCTATGTTTTGATGTAGTATGGAAGTAATTTCATGTTTTTGGTCGTTATTGTGTGCGAAAAAATGGAGTCGTGGACATATTTAGGCTTGTGCTATTTTCAGCAGTTAATGTCTTATTTAATTTATTCACTTTTTTGAAATAATATGGTATGGTGCCAATTTTAGGTTCAGCAGTTTTACTTTCGTAAGATAACGTAATTATTTCTTGAGATTTTCCCTTAATGTGCATCTTATGAGATACATTACTGCGATTTTTAATAATAGTTTTAATATTTTAATAAAATGCTTTTCGTAATATTTAGAGTCTAACATTAGATTAATCTTTGCACAAATATTTGCGTGGACGTTATGTCCTAGACCTGTTTGTGCATTCAATAAAATTACAATTTGGCATGTTATAGCACTAGTTTTTTAGCATATTATTTAGTTTATATTCATTTAAATATTTATTGTAATTAGTATTAAGTATAATAAAGTTTGAGATTTTTAGTATTTTTATTACTGCAGCTGTTTCAAAGAATATCTTTTCTTTATTAAATAAAACGTTACCCCCACACTAGGATTTTCTCCTGTGTCGTGGAGGCAGTTTACAAACATAAATTGCACAAGGACAAACATCCAGACCCGGAACAATTATTTGTAGGTCATACAAATACTTCTTCCGTGCGGGATTCGAACCTGCGGCCC